ATAACTACTACGGAGAAACGAATAACAACTTGATACATAAAATAACCAAATGTCCAAATGTATATATGGTCACGAGCGTGGTTGCCATCGTAACAGCTTTGTCAAATATTGGTAAGTATATTTATAAATGAATAATATTATGTTAATGACAACAAACGCGTCTATAATTTATATACAATTATATCTCATGTTAAACAACAACCAGTTAACTAGCGTATCGATATAGGTATAAAGGTATAACATGTTTTAAAAACTTAGCAATAATATTTTAATAATAAAAAAAGTGCATTAGTAAAAAGCTACCTATAGTGATATAATATTTAGGTATATTTTATATTATATAATAAGCATATTTTAGAAACAAATTGTTTATAATAGTATGTTGAATATGTTACGTTACCCACTCACAGTTATTCAAAAAGTTCCAAGCTATTTTATTAAAATTTTAAGAAAATTAAAATTAAACAACTAAAATATACTTTAAATGTTCAAAGTATTAAGTAACACATTAATGACATTGTGTATTGATAGCAATGTATCATTGTCGATCGTAATTTAATTATGAAATTATTTATTTTTTTAAATTGGTTTAAAGTACCTATTTTTCATTCTATAGTCGCTATAATTTGATAAAATAAATATTATTACTATTTAATACAAACATGAAATAAATACAAATACTTATTGTTCAGCCATCACTGGTTTATTTTAGTATGAAAAAATTAACTATACAACCTACAATTCTGAAGTCTGTTTGAAATATATATTTATCTAAGTACAATATCTAAATGGTACTACTTAAAAATAACAGTGAATGTTTTGAGTTATCAATCTGGAACAAAACTAAACCAAACTTAGAGTGGCTAAAAATGAAAATTGTAAATATTTTAAAATACCAAATTGGAAAGTGCCTAACTTCAAAAATCAAAATTCATTTTAATCGTAACATCATTAGTTATTATTCAATATTTTAATGCAACATGTATTACTTATAGGGTACTTTACTCTATATGGTCGATTTTTTTTTATTGTTTTTTATTGTGTATACTATAAATCATAATAATTATTCCAACATTTTTTTTGCGTCGTTAACCATAATGAATCTTTGAATACATAACTATAACACTAAACAATTATTCCATAAATATTACCCCAAAAAATGGCGTTACATATATTGCAAGCTCTTCTAAAATCGCTAAACAAGTATATACTGCTACTAATTACTCAGTATGAATAGTATGATACTATGACGTGTATTATACAATGCATTTGTGCAGATGCGCATTAATATATCTAATCATAAAATTTCATAATATTTAGTTAATACAATAATACCAACCACAAAAGTACGAAAGAATAAAAATTTAATACTTAAGCTGTCACAGTTGCACTTCGCTGTGTAGTTTAATCTATATTAGTGTATTTTATACCTAACCAAGGTATGAAATTATGGATAGACATATATAATATAATAATTCATAGCATTAAAATTTACTAAATATTACAGTATCTACCTATATCTACCGGATTACCTAATTATTATTATTTATTTTTTTATCGAAAATAACCTATATCTTTATTTTTTAAGTAATATTACCTTGGTTATTAGTTATTACCTATTTATTACTTATTATTAATATAATAAACAGCACGGAAGAGTATTTATTTTTTTTAATAATTTCCCTAAGTTATAACAGTAGACAGTTAACTAGAATCTATTATTGAATATAAATACACTAAATAATGCGGGATGTGCTAGTTATAAAAATAACACATTTAAAACTCAATAAATATGACCACATCCCTTCCTCACGTATTCACTACATTGCATTATTGTACGATATAAGGTAACTTTTCAATAACTAAACTAAACGATTAAGTGTCGAGGTACTTTCGAAACCTACTACATTATATAGACTATAAAGTGAATTTCTTGGTTTTTGATATTTTATTTTATTTTATTCACAGACAAAATCTGAAAAAAAAAAATTGCATTGACACTATATATAATGTTATGGTATTTATTTTTATACTTATAACCGTTATTTGATATTATAATTAATAATTATTATCGTACGAAACAACGGGTGATTGAATTATCGAGTCTTCTTTACTCTTCAGTCTTCAGTAATAATAAATGTATCGAGAACCAGTGGTGGTGTGAACGACCGGGATGATACCGGGAAATTCCCTGTGGGCCTCTGCCCGTATAAAATATATTATATTTATTAATATTATTATTGTGAAATTATAAATTAAAATATTATCTAATAATAATAAGTATGTAATATTATTATTAAACATAAAACCCAGATTTTTGATTATTTTAAAATACGGGACCGTTAGTATACTAAGAGCTTATAAAATTATGATTTTCCCGAGCTGAACAGTGCAAGACGAGCAGTCACCAGTCAGTACTGATAGTACTTCGAAGTTCACAGTATCGATTCACTGTAATAACGGTGACTGGCGAGGAAATAGTGACGAGGTGCGACGATTCGACGATATGTGTGGATACAGGGATAGGCCGGAAATAATAACAACAAGCGCGCAAACAAGTACGTGTAAAATATAAATTTATAATTTCTCAATTACATTTATAATACACGAATACACTTACTGTGTATGCGTGCATTGTATAACGTTTGTGAATATTGTGGCCTTGTGGATAAATTATTATTATTAAATTGTTTGTGAATCCGCTATTGACCGATGTTTCGGCGGTACAGACGTCAATCGTAATAATAATATTATTATTGAAACATTCGAAGCGTTCTGTGCTCTAACGCACCTCATAATCATTGCACTGGCCACCGAACGATAATGAGTATAAATGCAGTTTCAATTATTTATTTAGGGTGGAGAGATGTCTCGAAAAATTTATGCCAAACAAAGTCGTGGAAGGCTTCTTGCCCCACACTCCCTTCACTCTTCAGTATACCTTTTAAAACTTTGTTAGGTTTTTGTATCATATTTTATTGATATATTATGATTAATACTCAGTCAGTCAAACCTCTCCTAATAAATGATATAAGGGTTGTCATTCCAAAAACCCATTCACAACAAAATAAATCACATATTTACACTACCTATCAGTTTATCGAAGAAAAAACAAAACTATTAAATTAAAATATATTTTTGTTTTTATTTTTACAAAGGTTTACAGTCCTAATTTTGTAAAGTAAGAACATTATCTGTGTTCTCTCGTTAGTTTTACGATATTTTAATTTTTAAATTAATTATGATTTATAAGCATTTTCAAATATTTATATTTGTCATACTAAAAGTTTGATAATAGTTTGATTAACTCTAATATCAAAACTAAAAGCATACTCTTGAAACAGGTGAACGAAAATTTACCATGTCGTACATGTGTAAGACGCAGACAAGACATGGGTGCGACGTCCTCTTTAACTATAGAAATCTTCTATCGTTAAACATTGATTAATGATAATAAATACTTGGCATTTATAATCAATACTACTAATAACTCGATGACTAGAAAAACTGATTTGTAGCAATTGTTTATTCAGTTTATTGCAGTATTAGATACATTTGTGATTTAGTAATAATATTATTCTAGTGAGTTTTTTTTTTTTTTTATCGATACGAGCAATTTAATAATGCGATAAGGATTCTGAAATCAGATTTGAATTCGTTATAAAGTCTGTATGAAGCCTTATAAGTCGATACAGACTTTCCCCGTATTTTTGATGTATTACAAAGAAGTCTAAAGTATTTCAAAGGCAGTTTTAAAGGAGAAAGTGATGGAAGCAATGATCAAACTTGACCTAATTAAAATTTTTCTTGAATAATATTAATAGCAATTATTATTTATTGTGGTTAAATATAACAAAATTCTCATAAAATAAAAATGAAATGCCAATGCTTGATCGTAATCGAAGAATTAAATTAAATTGGAAATTAATTTAGACTTCAGAGCTATTTTTGGATTGTTTTTCCATTCGACGAACGTCCTTACGTATCGATATTTTGAGAATACTCAATAATAATATAAAAATATAAAATGTTCTTGTTATATTAATAAAATATTATTAGATTTTAGGTAAATTAAATTTGGATGTAAAATACAATCTACTACCCACATTTTTAAAATACAGTCCCTTTTGATAGGCAAATGATAAAACCTACTCTTGAAGTCATGCTAAAATAATTTAATTACATCGAAAGTTGGAACTCAAAAGTTTGATACTGATACATTACATATTTGACAAGCAAAATAAATTATTCATTGTAAATGTGGTCTTGTCGCGTAATTTAGATTGATCGATAGGTAATGAATACATATGAATATTATTCGTTGGAAATGTTGGAATACCCGCAAGTCACTTGTCACTCGTCAGCCAAGTATCGCCAAATATTGAGCTTGCGGAATGCGGAGCAAAGACAGCTCATCGTCGTTTCCAATCATCTATTAACGACAAAATTGTATTATTCTTGATCTCATTAATTATTAAAATCATTGGCTTTTACAGTTTTACTCATTAGTTATTAGTAATTACAGCAACAATAATCGACCGTCTTGCAGCGGTCAATTGATTGAATCGATGTGATATGTATGTATGTAATTATAGCGATTAATGATTACCTACATTAGAATAATATTACGATTTTCGTCATTATTACTTAAAAATGTGTTATTGAGTTTTAAGGATCGAAAACAAAACAATAGGTCTCTCTTTTTCGGCGAACTGCAGTATGCACACGACGGACGTCCGTCTCGCAACCATCAATGACGGCGAGGAAAATCGATTCCGATGGCCTCGTTTAGGTGTCAACCGCGGTCGCATACGCTCTACGCACATACGCGCACGTACACACACCACACATACACACAAGACAATGCACACGGGTGCTGGTGCGCGCGCAACCACTACACACACACACACACACACACACACACACACACACACACTGCGCGTCGCTCGACAGTCGACGTCCGTCGACCATCATTCATTTCGTTACTGACGTGCCGACACTACGACATTAGGTGGGCTCCCGTGCGTGCGCTATCGTGTTGCCGTTAAGTGATAATATTTTGATAAACGAGAAACGCGATAGCCGTCGTCGTCGGTCGCTGTTGACCGCCGACCCGACGGACGCCGACGAACGGGAAGTCCGAAAATAAACACGAAAACCGTCCGTTTTGTCCGTTTACAGTTTTCGTATTCTTCGTGAATTTAATATTCTACCATATTTGGTACGTATACAACGACACAGTATTTATTATAACATTGCGCTTCACAGCTGCTGCGATGGTCAGCACTCAGCAGTCGTCTTGCCCGTGAGACGTCGTGTACAATACGCTCGAGCGTACGGTATACCGTCTCATCTCTGTCTGTTTTCCGACGACGTCTTCATCCTCGTCTTTTGTTCTTTCTTCCAGTTTGTACGTATCCGTTCCTGTAGTGCTGTATGGAAGCCGGACCACCGATCGTCCAAAATGGCTCGAGAACCTGTACTGGTGCACGTCTATGATATGGTAAGTGTTTGTGTTGTTACCATACCCGTGTGCCAATGCTGTAAGATTACATAAATCCAACAGCGCACAGTGTCATAATAACAGTCTCTGTCCATGCTTAAATGTCTGACATTTATTTAACTCTTCTAACCTTAACTTCTAATCCAATTGTTACCCGCTTGTTGTGTATAACGTGATCAGATAAGTAATATGTATTTGTAAATATTCCTGTTTAGATACAAGCATTATTTAATTCTACTAAGTAATGTATACAGTTCATACACAGAACATAGGTAGAAATAGGAACAAATTTTTCAATTCAAGTAAACAAAATACTTGATAATTATTTCATTTTTATATTGGTATATTTGCCTATTAGATTAATCCAATAATCTACCTAAATAAGCATTGATTTAAATATTTAATTTTCATTACCTGCCTTAATACTGTATGGCTAATATTATTTTCAATAACCTTCACACAAACAGTATTAAAATTATATTTATTTGGTCGTTTGATATCACTTTTAATATTTGTAATTTTGCTCCAAGTTCCATTCTTAAAAATATATTCTTTTTAATACTTAAAATATCTGTTATATAAATAAATAATAATAATATTTATTATAATTTATTATTATCTTATTTTGAAGATTATGAATATTTAGACCATTGGTTTATGATAACTGAATGATAACAACTTTTTTTTAAATAAATATGAGTTGATTTGATTTAATATATCTATTATTAACTATTATTATTAGTATTCATGTTAAATTTGAATATTGTTTAATTCTTATGTGATAAGTAATAAAATAGTAACTTATGATTTTTTAATGGGATATTTTAAAGCATTGAATAATTATATACATTAATATTGAAAAGCTTACTTGGTGGTATTTTAATTAACCTATAATGTCAATACTTTTATAAGATAGTGTTTAATACAATTAATGATTATTTTGTGTTTGTAATTTATTAATTACTTCCTATTTTGTTTAGTATTGGATCAATGAATATACCACACCTATGGGTCTCGGTGTATTTCATTCTGGCATTGAAGTATATGGACAAGGTGAATATTACTTGAATTATATTTTATGTTTGAAATATTAATTTGTTACTTGTACTGTAGAATATGGATATGGAGGTCATGATAGACCAGATTCTGGAATTTTTGATATGATTCCAAAAGATGTTTATGAATTAGGAGATCATTATAGATATAGGTAATTTTTTTTAAATTAATTTACATAAGCAGTAGGTAATTGTTTTTAAGTTAATACTTATTATTGACTTAAATAATATAACATGAAATCAAATGTTATTTATTCCTGTAATGATGAAATTTACATTAGTATTTGTAAGTGTCCTTACTATAGCATTAGGATATATGTAGAATATTCATGTTCTTACCTAAATTGGACAAAATCACTGCTTTTACAGATTCAGCATATATTAATAAAATTGAAGATTGTGTAATATGGCTTTATGTATTATTAGTTTATTTTAGTTATTTTACATGTTCTTTATTTTTAATTTGATAATATTGTGCTTATATTAATAATAGTAAATACTAAATCTTTATGATCACTTATAAATTCAATATCATAGAAAGTCTGTTTTTAAATTTGCTGTAGAAATCTAATGAGTAGTGTCTGAAGTAGATAAGATAAATACAGATAAAAATAGAATCTTACCTGAATGAAAGAAAATACCAGGATATATTTAAACATTTAGTTCTTTTCTATTGATTAAAACAGAATAATTTTGCACAATAAATGTATTTGTTATAAATAAATATTAATTTTGGTTGTATAGATAATATTTAATTTTTTTTTTCTTTTGCTTTAAAAGTATTATACAGATTGTATATTTATTTGCTCGCAGACTAGTAAATAATTAAAATTTCAAATAATAAGTGTAAATACTAGAATTATTTGTTCACTACATTTGTAACTGTAGCTACTTATTAAATTTAATAACCTGAATAGATAACTATAGTACATACTAAATTAACTATTTCAAATATTAGCATTTATTATATATTTAATTACAAAATAACAATTTTATAATGCAAATACTTACATAAATGCTTTAATACAATACAATTATTTTAAACTTTTTAATTAAGCTCAAAGTTTTCATTTAACTTGTATGTAATTATATATAAATAGTTTGATCATAGTAACTCCATTTATTTAACATCTTAATATATTATATTTATCTATTATTCATATTATTTGTGATGTTTTCAAGTCTTATTCACTAACATATTGTTGGGTACGTTACTAATTAATTCTTCAAGTTATTTTAATAATACATTGATACAGTACTTTATACTATTGTAATTTATAACAATTAGAATTTTTAAATTAATTACAAATTCTTTAGATAAGCCTGATTTAATTCTAATTTAGAATTTAATAAAATATTTATTTTTAGAGAATCCATATACATAGGAAGTACAGATTTTACTGTTAGTGATGTTAAAAGAATAATGGTTGAACTTGGTAAGGATTTTCGAGGTGATAGATACCATTTAATGAATAAAAACTGTAATCATTTTTCTGGATCATTAACAAAGGTAAAATATTGTTTCATTTATAATTAACTTTGTTTTTATACATCTATAAAATCAATATTGATATGATAAATTGTTTATAAACTTGATTTTAGATTTTATGTGGACAAGATATACCAAGTTGGATTAATAGACTGGCATATGTTAGCTCATGCATTCCTTTTTTCCAACGTTGTCTACCAAAGGAATGGTTAACTCCAATTTCTCTTCAACGTAATTTGCCTCGAAAGAAATCAGATGCTTCTACAGAGCAACTAAATCCATAACATAATTAATTTTTCATCATACTAATTATTATAAATGGTTATAATATTATGATGTGTGCCATTCACATTAAATGCCTAATACTATGCAAATATAAAAATAATATGTACATGAACAGTTAATAATATTATTTATATGTATAAAGTAAAATAAAATTATAGGTTTTAAATTAAATGCTTTGAATTATATGATTATTTGCTTAATTACTTTTTAATATAACTTAATAGTTAATAGTTAATTAGTTGTGTAAGTTAAACTTGTGTAAAACAAATAAAATAATACCCTTTTTATTTCAATGTATTAATGATTAATGCATTATAAACAAAATAAATTACTGCATGAAGTCTTAAATTCATTACGCATACATAATATGTATAAAAGTTATATAATAATTCACATTAATTATTTTAATTTAAGATGAATGAATACTTTAAAGAGAATTCTTATATATTTTTAAATATTAATATATTTACCACTATTTAAAAACTGTAAATGAAGTTACAACTTTTTTTTTAAAACCGCAGTAATCAGTTATACTTTAGATGAAACTATCTGTATTATAAAATAATAAGATAATAATTTTATTGACATATTTTATACCTTTTTTAGTAAGGTAAGTATGAGGTAAAATGATATTACTCTCAAGTAACTGTAAAATATCTATGCTCAATAGTATTATTAAAATTAAAATAACTATTTACTCATTAGTTATTAGTTATTAAAAAGTGAACAAATAGATAACCATTCTGCTGTACAGTAGTAGTCTGGTATACCTTGTCATTGATTATGCCACTCTAATAAACGCATTAAATTTGAGTTTAATGATAAATCAAAACAAAAATTAATTTTGTAGACTGTCATTTCATGTTACTGAAGGTCGTCATTATAATTGTCTGCTAAAAATACACTCATTTAGCTATAATACTTTTTGGCTTTTTAGACAGCTTTTATCGTCTGCTAATTATTTTAACATCAAGATACCGTAGTCTGTAAGACTAAACCAATTATATTTTATCATTTATTTCTAAAATATTTCCTAATTTCCGAACAATTAATAAGCGTATTTTAAGGTCTGAACGAGGTGATAAGTGTTGCTTTTACAACGACATGTTTTTATTTTTATTTTTTTTTAGGTACTCAAAACTTGGCGTATGATATTACCCATGTTTTATATGAACTATAACAGTTTTTTAATACAATATTTTTGATAAAAATGTATTTAACCTACTGTGTTACTGTAATAGTTAAAAATTTTCCTATACTCTAATAGTAATATAAGTATAGGTACTTAGTAAATTTTGATTTGAAATTTATGAATATTGTGATGAATAGCCGGGTTCAAGTGGTTCAACTCACCATGGCAATATTTATAGCACTGGTTCCCAAACTAGGAGGCGTGTACACATTGCTGGGGAGGCGTAAGCAATTACTATGAAATATAATTTTTATTTTAAAACTTAGAGAAAATAAAATTAATTGACTGGTTCCTTTTATCCGTTATCGAGTATCAATAATGGATTATCAATAAATTATCTCAACAAAAAATAGTCATTCCGAATATTGTATAGTTTATTTTTAAAGTACACGAAAAAAGGTAATCGGTTTTTTTTTTTAATTTATAGTGGGAGCACGAGATTTTTGAAAATTACAAAGGAGGCGTAGACTAGAAAAGGTTGGGAATCAATAATTTATAGGAACTCAAAGCTACATTTTAGATTAAAAATTGGAGAATTTAGAATATGCATTCACTAGAAGATAGTAGTTGAAGTATGTATTTTAAATTTTTATAAAATAAAAATACAATAAACAAAAATATATTAATAAGTTCAAAACTGAAAACTTCCAAGACTATTCTTTAAAGATCAAATAATTCAATGAATATTTAAATTAGGTATCGTAAATTTCTCGATTTTACTGATTTTAGCTATAAGCATAATTTTAATTAACAGCCGATTCATTATGTACCAATAAAAATTGTCGTTACATTAGAATTTATGTAAATGATGGTTAGTGTTAGGGGTAACATTATACATAGTAATGGTTTGTTCTAAATCTTTCACCAAGATAGCTTAAATTTAAATTTAGGTCGAAGTAATCAGTACTTATCATCCATTCCTTGTACAATGTTTATTAACGTCTATAAATTAGTTTATTTTCTTAATTATATTTTTATTTTGATAACATTCTTATACCTAATTTAAAAAATCTATCGAACGTCGTAAAAAAGAGCTTTGTAGTTATAATTTATAATATTCACAGTATATTCCTCTATTGGCTTCATTATCTATAAACTCAATATGTAGTTTAGTGTTCTGGTTTTACAAAAACCCAAGAAAGTTTAAACTTTGAAAGAATATTCGTAGATAATATAATGCTGTAAATAGTTAAAAAGTAAACTATTAATTTGCATTATATACTCATTATACTCACTTAAAAACACAATAAGCTATAAAAGTTATAATATTTGACAAATAATCAATAGGTATCTAATAATTATATTAGATATACAGGATATAGGTACTTATGTTATAACTTATAACTATTATTCTAAAAAAATAATTGTTTGTAAAAGATGTATGATTGCTCCATTCAGAAAGTATAGGTATTGTCGCAAATCCACATTTGTGGTACAAATCTAAAAAAAATATTAGCATAACACGATGTTCGAATTTGGACATAACTAAATATTTATAAACCATAACGATTTTAGTTATTTTATTGAAATTCAGAAATATTATTTGCGAGGACTAGAAATTTTTACGCACTATATTTTATAGGTATACCTACTTACATAATGGTATTTTCAAAACATTTCAATTAATTTTAGGCTATTGTTTATCATGTACCTACGACATACAACGAATCTAATCGCATACTGTATTACTAATACAGAAACAAATTAATGTAGTAATAGTAATATAAATATATCATTTAATTAGTATCTAATATAGAGTGAGTCTTCATTCGAAATCGGTTTTCGTGTACAACGATTTATCGTTGAATCTTATTCGAATTAAACACATGCATTACAATGATCACCGGTCACTGGTCAGTGACTTACTTAATAACAAGCAACAGAGTGATTATCTACTTTCCCTTTTTTTGTTTTTAAATAAAAAATTTCAAAACTTTATATAAGTTAGGTTTTTTATAAATTGTTCTTACACATAGAAATTAAAATAATATTTAAAAAACTATTAATAGGTATGTATAAATTAAAATTATTTATGAAATTGATTTTGAAAAACAACAATTTTTCCTAAATTGGTTTTAATGATAGGTATTATTAGGATTTACAAAATATTAATTGTAAAGACTTTTCGTCATTCCATATTATAATTTATATTATTATTTTTTATGCCTACAAAATTACATTTTCAAAGTATTTTAACTAATTAGTTATTTTAATAGGTATTGATACCACGAATATTTCACACCTTTCTATAGTACGACCTTGGTATTGACTTTTAAGTAAATAACCATAATTTATCAATATATAACATAAATAATATGATAATTACCTAATATTATATATAAATATGTAATGTTTTTGATAAAAATTAGTTCATTCTATCTAAGGATGTACTAGCAGTGCTGGCCTAGTAGAGAAGCAAGGTTAATCAGCCTAATTAGAGGTTAAAGTAAAGTATGCTTAGCTTTCAGCAAAAAAATAAATAAATAAATAAATAATAAAATAAAATATGGATATAAACAATTTTTTTCTTTTGAAAATTAATATTGGAAATTGTTCTAAAATAAGTAGTTATAAATAGCATGCATAATTTAAATAATGCTGGGTCATATTCTATATAAATTTATATTTTTCATTATTGTTTGTTAGCGATAGCCAAAATTTATAACCATCTTACGAGTATATTTTAATAAACCTAAAAAGATATATTTTAATAGTCATTGTTATATTATTTTAGTATAAAGCTTATAAATTTACATGGTTTAGCCCGGTGGCCTTAAAAAATCTTGTGGCTAGCCAGTAGGACTATTCCCAGTGACTTACCTAACTTGTCTTATTGTCTACTTCTGATTCTACTGTACTACCTACTAATATAGTAATATAAATTCATATCTATATTATTAAAAATAAAAGCTACTCAATACGGTTTCAGATCAAAATTGTTTTTTGTATACAATGATTTATCATATTATATTCTGAAAATTTAACGCATAGGTATAGCACAATGATTTAAAATTCTAACTCAATGATGAAGTACATTCGAAACCCATTATTACTATAGACTAGTGACCGTGTTTTCTTATATTTCTTTGTTATGTGTAATATTGGTAATTTGATTTTCTCGTGATTTTCGTAGTTATGCTATTACTTTAGAGGTAATAGTATCTATAGAAGCTAACCATGCATTCACACAGTAAAAATCCTGACAATTTCTTTTTTTTCTGAGGGGGGAAGACTCACTTTTTTATTGACTATATATTATAGGAATTATTAATACATAAATTATATAATTATTATTTATTACAAATAATTTGGTATATTTGACATTTTAATAAAAATTATAATAGGTACAATTCTGATACATTATAATATAAATATTTTATACAAATTAGAAAACAATTTTTTTTTCAAAACCGTCTATCGGGATGATTTTTTTTTTTTACTTACAAATTGATAAATTCCTGTTATAGTAAAGTTCTTTTTTGTACTTTATATTTAATTTTAAACAATATCCTTATGTGTCTTTTCCAAATGTAGTAAATATTATAAACCTATACGTTACAGAAACATTGATGAAAATAAATTATATTTTATTTAACACGATTAGATAAGTTAAGGCATTTTGATTTAAAATGTGTGAATAGTAAGTAATGGTCATTAATAACAATTATAAAAGATAATAACATTGTATTATTGCAACGAATATTGTACATTTAATGAATGTTGTCAGCTGTGTTTATTATAGGGTAAAGAAATTAAATTCAAGGTGGGAGGCATTTAGTCTAGATCAGTAATAACTAACTACAGCCTGTGATCATTTATTAATCAGCTTGTCGAAGTTAAATTAAAATCGATAAAAAATTTAATTCACTTTCATTAACAATGTAACGTTTGTATAATTTATTATAAGCTACTATTTCCTATTTATCATCATCAATTATGTTATTGA